CCAGGATATGGCCTCTTTTCAGAATATAATTCCCATGTTAATTATGCTTTGATCTCGGGCTTCTGAATAGAATAAAAAAAATCCTCCAGGTTTTAGGATTTTTTTAAAAATATGGCCACTTTTTCGTTCAATTCAGTTAACTAGTAGTTAACCCTATGGTAATGCAAACTTAATTCAGGCATTAAGTTTGCATTGCCATAGGGTTAACTACCCCATTTGTCGCTATGATTTGTGGACGCTGGATCGTATCACATGAACCCCAAAATATCAATGCCATATTATTTAAAAACGCATGGATCTCGTGATTTTGAACAACATAGAACAAATCGCAAAGTTCTAGGACAATTTTTATAATGTGACCACTTTATCGATCAATCCAGATTATTCGAAAATCACAATTAGAGGTGCCAATGAACGTAAGGAGAAAAATAACCAACAAATTTCAAAAAGATACCCCCTAACAAATGTGTATTGCCTCGACTCTTTGCTAAATTTGAGCTCAATCGGACTTGATTTAGGGGTGGCGCAAAGCGGTCAAAATTTTACCTTTTTCACTCTCGAAATTTTATATAGGGGAAATGTTAGCTTCGGCAATACCTTAACCTATTATCATCTGAGGGTAAATAAAGCCTTATAGCACTCAAACTTGGCCAATAGATGCTATGAAACACAATGTATCCACATGCCAAAATTGAGCTCTCAATGATGTTGTTTACCCCCTTACGATAATAGGTTAGGGTATCGCCGAAGCCAACATTGTAAGACACTGAAGAAGTCTGCACATTGTAGATGAAATACGCGTATCTGTCAAGGATAAGCAAATAAGGTAGTGGAATTAAATGGAAATTATTAATCCTTCTCTCTCTCTCTCTTTCTCTCTCTCTCTCTTTACGCGTTTCTAGTATTATATCTATGAAAGTCACTTCCTCTTTCAATTCGATCACACAACCATAGAGGTAACTCTAAGACCAGAAGGTCCCGAAGAAATGTGCTCAACTTTTTGGCTCAGCTCTGGTACTCTCTTCGTTTCCAAGCTTATCGATTCACCCTTCGAAACATAGGAAAAACCAATAACCCCTCATTTTACCTGTCAAACTTTCATAGCGAATCAAAACAAACATTGCGTAGTACTAGAATTTCGACTAGAATGGGGTACGTTAATCGTTTGCTTGGGACCAATAGGCTAGTCAAGTAGTGTGCCAATTTAAAATCGTTAGTTTCGTATTGATTGTTGACACAACTATCGAGGGAGCAAACCGTTAACTACTTTAAAAATGAACACCATAGTCAAATTTATATACAATTATTTGCTTCACCGACAACCATTGTAAGGCGTCTAGCATCAAAGTTGAGGAAGTGAATCTATTACATCTCAAAATCAAACGCATTATGAAAGTTGAACTTAAAGTTGTCATCAACAATCACGCCAAGATATTTAATCTCCCGAACACGATCAATAGTCTCATCATCAATTACAACAGAGACGTTCTCATTTAATCGATTCTGCGAATTACCATAAATTTAGTTTTACTTGTATTGAATTTCAACTGCTTATACTACAACCAACAATCAATACGAAACTAATGATTTTAAATTGGCTCACTACTTGATTAGCCTATTGGTCTCAAGCAAACGATTAACGTACCCCATTCTAGTCGAAATTCTAGTACTACGCAATGTTTGTTTTGATTCGATATGAAAGTTTGACAGATAAAATGAGTGGATTTTCCTATGTTTCGAGGGGTGAATCGATTAATTGGGACCGAAGATAGTACCAGAGCTGAACCAAAAAGTTGAGCATGTTACTTCGGGACCTACTAGTCTTAGAGTTACCTCTATGCTACAACCATCTACTTAGAGAACGCAAATCTTCATTCAAGTGTAAAACGGCATCATCTAAATCCTTAGCTGCAATGAATAATACAGTATCATCTGGAAAAAAAAATTAATGTCGCAAAATCGTAAAACACGTCGCAAGTCATTAATATATATAATAAATAACAAAGGCCCTAATACACTTCCTTGGGGCACTCCAAGGTTATTCCCCACGGGACTGGAAGCAGAATCATCAAAACAGTCCGTTGAGTTCTGTCAACCCATTTATATGCAGCACTCGTAATTCTAAAGTGGTTGATTGATCTTAACAACATGGGCCTAGAAATTGTTTCAAAAGCGCGTTTAAGATCCAAAAAATAGCAACAATCGTACACTCCTAGTTATTTTCCACTTCTTTAATACCAAATATAACGCGGTTTCACAAGAATGACCTTCCCGATATCCTGATTGTTCAGTTATCAACAAACAAACTATTACTATTTAAATCCTACAATAGCTGGCATTTAACAACAAGTTCTACAATTTTCTCTAACGTGTACAACATGTTGATGGGACGAAACTCTTCGGCTTTAATCGCTCCAGCAATTTTTGGAATAGGGACCACTAAGGATTCCTTCAAAATGTGTGGCACATGTCCAGTTTGCAATGATTCATTAATAAGGTCCAGCAAGATGTGGCCAATGACACGAAAGCAATCTTGAATAACTCTAGCATTAACATTGTCAACTCCAGCCGATTTTCCTAATGAAAAACAAATAACTCTAAGATCATCTAACGTAATTGGATAAAAACCTTAAAATCTACAACTACTTTTAACTGGCTGTTTTATTTCGTCAGGTTTATCGACCAATTCAATTGATTGATTAATCAATGAAACTCTGTAGACAAAATAATCATTAAACTTAGATGCAATTCAATCCTTTAAATTTGTCGAACCTCTTAACGGAATCCCTTTATGAAGAGCTTTGAGTGGGTTGGTTTATTTCCTTTCAATTCCGATATAATTGCTTATCTTTTGACAGATACGCGTATTTCGTCTACTACTTGCAAACTTCATCAGTGCCAAGTACTCAACACCACTCCCACCCCACTAAGCGGTGTTGAGTACTTGGCACAGTACTTCTTCTGACTGTTCTAATGTGCCATTAAAAGCGATGGACCGCAGTTTGCAATTACTAGGTTTTAATAAAGATTTCAAAATTTTCCATAACTCTTTGCCGTTGTTTTGTTTTTCGAGTTTTTCAAAGAAACAAACTTTTGCTCAACTAGTTGATTGGTACACGATTTTAAATCGTTATTAAGAACAGCTGTAGATTCATCTAAGTTATCGGAAAATCCACGCTCCTCTCAACAAGATTCGAAACAGCCTGTTTCGAATATTTCCTCCAGCTCTTCAATTTTACAAAATTATCGTTATCGTTAAAATGGTCTAAGACATTTAGTGATTAATGTCGTAGACCATGTTAACGATAACGATAATTCTAATAATCGGTTATTTTAAATCAGTATCCGTAACTGAACAAATGGAATCAAAATTGGAATAAACGTGGTAAAAGTTCTACCAACCGATGGAAACTAACGATTTTAAATTGGCTCACTACTTGACTAGCCAATTGGTCCCAAGCAAATCGATTAACGTGCCCCATTCTAGTCAAAAGTCTAGTACTAAACAATGTTTGTTTTGATTCGGTATGAAAGTTTGACAGATAAAATGAGGGGTTAGTGGATTTTCCTATGTTTCGAAGGGTGAATCGATTAGCTTGGAACCGAAGATAGTACCAGAGCTGAGCCAAAAAGTTGAGCATGTTTCTTCGGGACCTAATAATCTTAGAGTTACCTCTATGGTTCTACTGTGCCTGGAAATACGCGTATATTCCGTATATCTATATATATATCGTATATCTACCGTTTGTTTCAAATCAGATAAACGCTTCAAATGATTCGAATTATAGTTATCACGCCAATAAATATTAAAATCACCAGCCAATATATTTAATGTACTAGAATAAAGGAGTGTATCGAGCCAGTTCTCTAAAACTTCAACAAAACGCTGGTCACTAGAACTGAGAGAATGATACAAAACACCATAATTACCCATCTTCATGTCACGTACAACTGTAATACACAAGAACCAGTTGCCATCAATAACTTCGTTGGTACGAAGGATGAATTGAACTGATTATTTGACATAAATAGCAACACCGCCAGTGTGTATAGAATGTGATAAATAAGCAGCAACAATATATCCCGGAATACGATACTGATCAAAAGCTTCAGTTTCTACAAAATGAGATTCAGCTAATAAAACTAAAAGAGGACGCTTTTCCTCAACAATCTGACGTAATGCTACGTAGTTTTTTGAAAACTCCGCAATATTAAAATTAAAAAAAAATCGAACTAACATAAACTTTCATTATTTGAGCCTACATCAGGGTGGTTCATATTAGAGAGGGTCTAGTATAAGAGAGGACCGAATTCAAAACAAACTGCTTTGGCAAACTATGCCTAGGTGATTTTTAGCAACACTGCCAATGCAATTCAGATAGGCGCTGATCGATTGGCTCTGGCTTTGACACTTCGTTTGGCCAAAATTTGCCAGTCCGCTCCTCTCTTATACTGGACCCTCTCTAGTTCATATTATTTTCATTAGGTAGGTCCTTTCAGTACTGAAAGATAAAATAAAAGCAGAAATATAAATCGCAGAGTGTTCGCGCCCGTCGCGGGAAATCTTTCGGACACACATAAAAGAATTCGCGGTTTACATACAAACACCTTTTATTACGCGAACACAAAAATACATTTATTAGAGTACGAAATTACTAAGGAGATGTTTCCTCCGCGACGGTTTATTGTAACTGATATTTTCTATTTCTACGTACCTATGTGCCACACAGCTGACCCGATGGTTAGCGATCGATCGTCAGCTGTATGTACATAGGGATCAAGAGCGGACCGGCGGGAGAGATTCGCTTTCATACTTAGTTTTCTAGGGATGCACATGTGAAACTGTGTCATCGATACTTTTATCTTCTCGCTCTAACATATGCCGGCCGCCTTGAAATATTTGATTTCAATTAACTATCCTACTCTAACATTAACTAACATTAACATCTAACAACTACATACAAATAAACACAAAACAATATTGATCATCTCTGCTGCTGCTACTGTGCTATATACTTCGATTGTGTTGGCTGACCCAAATTTGCTTCTGCTTTCGATTGGCGATGACCTTGGCCTACATTTGGATCAGCTGTTCTCGTATGCGATCGTACTGCTGCATTTCTGTAGCTGTTGTTCCTTTGGTGCTGTTGAACTGGTGATGTTTTCGCTTGCTGCTGTTGTTGTTTTGATGAAACTGTGATGCTGTTCTGAAGAATCCGCTGGATTTCCGCCGTTATGAAGTTATCGGTCGTTGCAGGTAGGTATAGTGTACCTCGGAATGGTGGAAACGAAAATGGAGTATCCAGGAGTAGAAAGTAGTAAACCGGAACAACATACCTGGCAAACTGCTTGATGTGATGACAGTACAGGAGCAGGAGTTGTCCGTAGGCTGGTACTTCCATTCTGTCCGGTTTCAACGATTTCTGACTGATTACATTCGGAACGGTTTCCATCGATTCGACTGATTGCTGATTTCTTTCCAGGTTCTTGCTTCGATTTTTGATGCTGCATGTTTTGGACTGGCTCTGATGTCGATGTCGGACGTGGACTGTGGTGAACTCAGTGGACCTGGACGACCGATTGTCGTCGGAGAGGTCGACGTTTCGATGTTCTTCGATGGTGGTGTGGCTGCAGAGTCGCTGTAAGAAATGAGAGGGTGCTTTTTTACCATTTTAACCACAATAAAAAGCGACTTGCCTGGAGCGGAGGCCACCGTGACCTCCGCGGGTGCCCGTTGGCACCGATGATCCTCTACTTCTCGCTCTGATGACGATTTACTAGCTGTTTCGATGATATCCGAGGGCTGCGAGATGCTGTTACAATGCTGCTGCTACTAGTTGTGAACGTTGGACAAGCTGGCCATGCTTGCTGACGCACACTGGTAGTGCAACGAGGACGAAGTGCGCACTTCTCCTTCTCGATGATGCAGATGCAGTTTACCTCGAATAATCAAATTTGATATGCAAATAAATGTCCGAACTGACTGGGCGCTGAAGCGCTGGCGTTGGACGCCGCTGACGATGTTCATGCTCGAACGAACCGAAAACAATGCATGCAACCATTGACCACCACCGAAACTATACGGATTACCTCGAGTGAAGGGGAACGGCTCGATTTTCTATCGACTAAGACTGTTCCGGGGAATCGAAACCAAGGGCGAATCGTGACTGGGAAAAATGAGCGGGGTTATTTTTACGAAAAATACAATATACGATTAACTTAACTGGTGTGCGGAGGCCTTTCAACCTCCGCCGTTGGAGGAGTCCTAGTTCTCCCCGTTATGTGCATTGACGTTATCTCGAATCGGTAGTACGCAAATCTTTGAGATTGCTCTGCGGTAACTACCGTCCGTTGTTTTGACGGTCACGACTCGAACATTCCCATCACGACCTGCGTGGACCTCTGTCACACGCCCCAGTAGCCACTTCAGTGGCGGCTGATTCTCCTCCTTCAGGACCACCATGGTTCCAATTACCACGTTGTTTCTTCTCACTGTCCACTTGGTCCGATTGTGGAGGTCTGACAAATACAGATGCGACCATTTCTTCCACAATTGCTGCGTGAACCGCTGCGCTTTCTGCCAGGCTGACAGACGATTTTCAGGAATCCCATCCAGATCGGGTTCCGGTATTGCCATAAGAGGCCGCTGAATCAGGAAATGACCGGGAGTCAACGCTTCGTAGTCGTCCGGGTCGTTGCTGAGCGGCGTGAGTGGTCGCGAGTTCAATACTGCTTCCACTTGAGTCAGGATCGTCTGCATCTCGTCGTACAGGAGAGTGTGCACGCCAATCGTTCGTTTGAGAAGCAGCTTGAACGATTTGACTGCCGATTCCCACAGTCCACCGAAGTTTGGCGAACGCGCTGGAATAAACCGGAACTGAATCTGGTCTTCAGCCGAACTTCTGATGACGGATGCCTGGAACTGCTGGTTGTTGAACAGGCGACGTAATTCGTCCAACTGTCGTCTCGCACCTACGAAGTTTCTTCCGTTGTCGCACATTATGATCTCCGGCTTGCCTCGCCGGGAAGAGAAACGCTTCAGGGTCGCAATAAATCCCTGAGCGGACAGGTCTGACGCTAGTTCCAGGTGAACGGCCTTGGTTACTAGACAAACGTAGACGGCAACGAAGATTTTCACCGGGCGATTGCGCCGGTACGGATACGACACTTGGAACGGGCCACAGTAATCCACACCTACACGCTGGAATGGTGGACACGGGGTGACTCTTTCGGGGGGAAGATCCGCCATGAGCTGGTCCTGAATCTTGGGCTTCACTCTGAAACATGGTACACACTCGTGGATGACCTTTCGCACTAGGTTCCGGGCGTTTGTTGGCCAGAACCGCTCTCTAACGGACGAAACCATGAGCTGTTGTCCACCATGCAACATCTTTCGATGGTAGTGAACGACGACCATGTACGTAAATGGATGACGGTGATCCAGGATATACGGGTGCTTGCGACGGGTCGCAATCGATGCATGGCGAAGTCGGCCGCCAACGCAGAGTATTCCGTTTTTGAGCTCCGGGTGTAATGACGAAATCTTCGACGACTCTCGAACTTCTCTACCGTTTCTCAAATCAGCTAACTCCAGCGAGAAGCTTTCTTGTTGGGAGAGCCTGACCAACGCATGCAAAGCATCTTCCAGTTCGAGCGTTGTGAGAGGACCACACCGTCGATTGTCACGGTTCGCCGGTTGCGAATTTAAGCGGAATCTGAGAAGCCAAGCAGTCAGTCGTACGAGATGTGTATACGATGATCTGAGGCTGAAGATATCGCTTGGAGTTACCACTGCAAGTGCTGTCGCCATGCTTTTGGCTTCGAGATCCAAGGGATCGAAGTCTTCTTCATCTATCTGATGAGCAGATGGCCAGTTGTGCTCGTCCAACTTTAGCCAATGCGGACCGTTGAACCAAAGCGATTCATATTGTAGCTGCGCTGGGATCATTCCACGGGAAATTATGTCAGCTGGATTCTCTAGTCCAGCTACGTGGTTCCAAACGCCTTGTTTCGTGATGTGCTGAATCTCCGAAACCCTATTTGCTACAAACTGCTTCCATCTTGACGGTGACGAAGAAATCCAACACTTGACAATCGTGGAGTCCGTCCAGAAAAAGCCTTTCGCTTTGATGCCGAGACTGCTTGTGACCTTCTCGTAAAGGTGTGCCAACAACAAGGCTGACGACAGTTCTAGGCGTGGAGTGGAGAGCCGCTTGTTTCCTTTCTTCAAGTTGTCAAGCGGTGCAACGCGTGACTTCGCTGTTAACAACCTCACACACACCTCCCCCGTTTCGGAGATTGTTCGTACGTAGAAACAGGCGCCGTATGCCTTATTCGACGCGTCGCAGAAACCGTGAAGCTCCGTGGTGACGATGTGACTTCCGGTTCCTACCCATCGGGGAACGGTAAGGTTTTCTAGCGCTGCTAGATTCCGCCGATATTCCTTCCACTGCGCTTGAAGTTCTTGGTTAAGTGGTTCATCCCAGCCGCAGTTTTGCTTCCACAGTTCCTGGATGAAGATCTTTGCCTGGATGATAACTGGGCCAACCAGACCAAGCGGGTCAAACAACCGCGAAACATCAGAGACGACCAAGCGTTTTGTCATCGTTGCTGACCAGTTGAACGATGGGAACGTGAAACGGAAAACGTCTGAACTAGGTTCCCACACTAAACCCAATGTCTTGATGGAAGTTTCAGACGAATCGAGATCCAGGATTGAGCGTTCATCCCTCAAGCTTTCCGGAACGCATTCGAGAAGCTCCTTGTTGTTTGAGTTCCATTTTCGAAGTGTGAAACCCGCTGAATCCAACAGCTCGATGACTTCTTGAACCAACTGTTTACCTTCTTCTACGGTGTCTACCCCTGAGAGCATGTCGTCAACGTAGAAGTCCTTCTTGACCACCTTGGACGCTACAGGATGCGTTAACGCTCCGTCATCTGCTAAACGCTGCAGGCATTTGGTAGCAAGATATGGTGCGGATGAAGTACCGTACGTGACAGTGGTCAATTCGTACGTGCGGTATGGATCGGAAGGGGCAAATCTCCACTTGATGCTCAGCAACGGATGATCACGACGTTGAACTTTAACCATGCGATACATCTTGGCAACATCAGCGTTGACTGCGATACGGTACATGCGGAAACGTAGCGAGATACTAGGCAGGTCATCTTGTACTACTGGACCAACCATGAGGGCGTCATTCAGCGAAACTCCGGTAGACGTTTGACAGGAAGCGTCGAAAACTACGCGCAGCTTCGTAGTCGTGCTGTCTGGCTTAAGAACAGCGTGATGTGGTAGATAGTACCTTTTTACTCCTACCTCTCCGACCTCCTCGGTGACGTCCTTCATGTGTCCAAGTGCAAGATATTCGCGAATGAATTCGTCGTACATCGTCTTCAGCGCTGGATTTGCAGCGAAACGGCGTTCCATGCCCATCAACCGTTTTATCGCTGTGGTCTCCGAATGACCTAACCGATTAATTACGGCTTCCTTCTTCGGCATCGTCACAATAAATCTGCCGGTCTCGTCTCTGATCGTTGTCCGGGCGAAATGTTCTTCACACGCTGACTCCTCTAAAGAATGCGTACTAAGGTTTCGGCATGTCTCTAGGTCCCAGAACTTTGCGAGTTGATCTTGGAGCTCGGTGGTAGAACACACGAGAGTCAGAGATTGACATCCACTAGGTGAATGCTCGGGAACCTTTCCGGAAACTATCCAGCCAAAATTTGTATTCTGCAGTGTGGGTCCGTCTTCAGTCGCCTTTTGCTGTTCGCTCCTCAGGAGGTCCATGTAGTATTCCGCCCCGATAATGACGTCAACAGGACCAGGTTCATAGAAGCGTGGATCAGCTAAAGATGACGATTCCGGAAGCGTCCAGCCGCTGATATCGCAGGTTGCAGTCGGTAGCGACACAGTCAACCGTGGGAGAACGTGGAACTGCATCTCTTGCACGAACGATGAAATGCGATCTAACCTCGGCCTTACTACAGCACTGACGAGTTTTGTTGAAGTGCTCGTAGATGAGCCGATCCCTTGGACAGACAGATATGATGGCGATTCGTGAAACTGAAGTTTGCTTGAGAACTCTTTCGTCATCAGGCAATGCTGCGAACACGAGTCCAGCAGCGCTCGTGCCAGCATGGAATTGCCGTGACGGTCCTTAACTTTGACTAGAGCGGTTGATAACATGATGTTCTGTGTAGGTGTGATTGGGAGTGCGATGTGTGTTTGACTTGTGGAGGGTGTGGCTGTATCTGTGGCTAGTGGTGGAGTGGCTGTTGATTGAGTGCTTTGTCCTTGCAATGTGGTGGATGTATTGGTACTAGCGTTGTGTGTATGTTGGTTCGAGTTTGTTGGCTTGGATTGTGGCTGCCGTCTGGTTTGTGTCGGAGAATTTGACTGCGACTGTGGAACGGAGGATCTAGCTGATGCACCATGCAGCAGGGAGTGGTGCTTCTGTTGGCAGTGACGACAGACACCCTTCTCGCAGTTTCGTGCGATGTGGCCAGGACTCAAACAATTCAGGCACAACCTTGCTTTGAACGCAGCTTCACTGCGCTCGGGAACTTGAAGACGTTGGAATTTGCTGCAGACGAATGCAGAATGCCACGATCCACTGCAGAATGGGCACTTGCTTGAAGATCTCACGGTAGTGTGACACACGGATGACTTCGACGATCGTTGATCAGACTGGCTCGCCGGTTTCGTTGGAGCGACGGATTGCAGCACTGCACAATGACTTCGAAGGAAACTGATCAGGTTTTCATACGTCGGTACACCCTTTGAATTGTGGTGTGTTTCCCACTGCCGTAGAGTGGCATGATCCAGCCGGGAATACACCATGTATGCGAGAATCGTACTCCATGCAGCAGTTTCTTCGCCGATCTTCTTTAGCATTTGCAGGTTCTTCTCGAAAGCGCTGATGAGATTGCTCAGTCCGTCGTAGCTTTCTCGCTTCAAGCCTTCCACGGCAAAAAGGGAATCCAGATGTGCCTTTACAATCAGCTTCTTGTTCTCGTAGCGGGACTCAAGCGCCTTCCATGCTACGCTGTAATTCACTGCCGAAAGCTCCACCGACTCGATCTCTTGCAGGGCCTCTCCTGACAGGGCTGACTTCAGATAGCTGAACCTGTCCATATCAGTTAGGTGCTTGTTTTCGTGGATCAGGCTGCGGAAGCTATCCCGGAACGTAACCCACTCCTTAATCCTCCCACCGAACGAAGGAAGGCGAATTTCTGGAAGTTTCACCTTCGAGAATGATGCTTCGGATCGGTCACCAAGTTGACCATTTCCGACAGACATCGATGTAGATGATGGTGGGGTCTGCTTCGACAACAAACTGGCCTTTACGGAGTAATATCGCTCCTCGAAACTACTCAAAGCTAGCAGATTTTCCTTCTCCTCGTCCGCATCAGCATCATCAACATCATCCATCAACAGTTCAATTCGTTCCCGAACCTCGTAGAACTCCTTGCTAACTGACGCTAGCGTTTCCAGTCGTACGCTGACTTGGCACTCGTCTCTAGCAGGAATATATTTCGTCGCGAAATTCTCCAGTCCAGCCAACGTATTCAGAACGCGCCGCTCACGCTTACTAAGGGCCCTCAAATCAGCCATTGGTAGTAATTTACAGCACTACACTGCACTTTGACTAACTACGAAAGGCGCAATTAATCAGTAAATTGTACACTGCACAGCACTTTCACCAAAACACTCCCGATCGACTCGACGTTCCACAAATTCGCGACCTCAAGAGACAGATTGACTTCTCAAACGACAGCAGTGAGGGGAAACCAACCTGAGAGGACAAACAAGCCGACAAATCCAGCAGACTTCGAGACCAAAACAAACTAGCGGACACCACAGGGCTATGTACCAAAGAAAAAAGGACTCACATGCACTATCAACCAATTTATTAATTAATTGCCACGGGTAGCCACATGCAACAAGCCACCGTACAACATGCACTACTTCCCAAATTATGCTGCAACAGTATGTCCGCCGTTGATCCTGGCTGTTTACGTCTCGTTCCTGGCGCGTCGAGATCCTCCAAATGGCCGCAGCTTCCCGCCGTACGTGATCGCGATCTCTATCGCGATGGCGCCGTGAAACGCACAATTGGGATTGCTCACAAAGAATTGCGCCAATAGCCTTGCTATGGCGCCGAGAGTCTTTCACACTGTGACGTATTGTCCACTCAATATAGTGGTTCCGTGGGGAAATTTCACTATTTTCCGAGCCGATAACGTGCAATTAAATTGCCGTCGGCTTTCGCGCACTGATAGTTCTTTTTTTTTTTGGGTTTGTTTGCTGCTCCGACTAACAGCAGCCCACACAAACTGTTCGTACTGAGGATTCGTGACTTATCCTCGCATATAGCACCACACACCACACAAAGTGTCCGAAAATTCACAAATCCGGCTCGAAGGGCCAAATGTTCGCGCCCGTCGCGGGAAATCTTTCGGACACACGAGAAATGTACGGTTTTACACAACGAAAATACACTTTATTACGCGAACACAAAATTACATTTATTACGGTAAAGGACGGAACAAACGAAGTGTCTTCCGCGACGGTTTATTGTAACTGATATTTTCTATTTCTACGTACCTATGTGCCACACAGCTGACCCGATGGTAAGCGATCGATCGTCAGCTGTATGTACATAGGGATCAAGAGCGGACCGGCGGGAGAGATTCGCTCTCATACTTAGTTTTCTAGGGATGCACATGTGAAACTGTGTCATCGATACTTTTATCTTCTCGCTCTAACACAGAGTAATTCCAAAAAATGTGCAGTCCCAACCATTTCTAACGTAAACAAATCAAACATTACTGTTAGTGATGATATACCATTAAAAGCAGAAGTGTTCCTCACTTAATATACGCAGAAATCAAACTAAAACCTAATGATTCACAATTTTCTTGAAATCGTTATTGCTAATTTCAGCCTTCCTTCTTCCTTCTTATCAAAATCTAACCCCCTTAAGTACTCATCCCCTTTAGTTTACTTAAATCTTTGGTTTTTATTAGTTAGGTAGGTTCCGATTCAACACATTGTAGTTTCATTTTTATACCTATGATCTTGTCTTTTTTTACCTAGGGGATGAGTACTTGTGGGGGTTAAATTTTGATAAGATCTTTAGTGGGAATGACACAGATGAAGACTGCACATTGTAGCCGAAATACGTATCTGTCATGGATACCAAAATTAATTAAGTGGAATTAAATGAAAGATAACCTTTTTTGCTGTTTTTAAAAATATTTGTAATTGGTTATATCATGCCGATATAATTATTATCTTCTTCAGGATCATCACCCATCGTTTCAAACATATGCTGCACTCTCATTGATGGAAAAATGACAGCACAGCGAACAAAACATAATCGATTGATTGTTAATCGAGTAATTAAAAATGGGACATCTCTGATTTTGGTTTGATTGTTTTGATAAAAAAAAGAGCGCCGAGGGGGCAGCAAAACCACCAAATTTACCTCTCATACGGGGTATGAAAGGGACCGTGAAAGAGGACACTCAAATATAAAGTTTTTCTTCCGACAGTTTCATCTTAGTATTATTCTTTTTTTTTTAATGCAGCCAGACGGCTGCTGTCACGCACATTGGGAGCCAAGCAATTTTATGATGCTTTTCTTACAGTTGAACAAGAGTACACAAGGCGGTATTAAAATCTTGCGTAAAGTAATTTATGACTAACTACCATGTCCAGCTATTTTATGCTATGGGACACCATTTCTGTTTAATTCATTCAAAATACACAAAAAATAATATTGAAAGATACCAAGGTTTTGTCAAAACACCTGGTGGCATAATAAAATACCAAACAGAAAAGTACAGTTTCTGAATGCACACTGAACAATCTCAAACAATCACTACACGCTCAAAGCAAAACACGCTATTTTGCTATGCCTGTTTTGATTTGATTTCAATGGCACAAATTTTCATGACAAGAAGAACAAGTGTATAATGAATTCCGTGTGTGCTATCTGCTTCTCCCACCCAGGAGTACACTATATCAACAATAATTTTTATTTAATTTAATTATTACAATTAAATAAGTGTTTCCTACTTACTTACTTACTTAAGGGTCCTGTGCACCACCAGCGGTGCAAAGGGCCAACGTGAAAGACTTCCATCCTGGGCGGCTGCTCGCTTTTGCCTTCACACTTAGAATTTTTTACAGAATTCGGTAAACAAAAACACCGAAATTGATCTGTAAAATGTATCTTACAGATTGTTCGGTAAAACTTAGGTATTTTTCATCAATTTGTCTCAGACTTACCGAAATACTGTAAATAAAAACAAATACTGAACGATCTGTAATGTTTTTTACTGAATTATCTGTAACACATGGCAATTTACCATAAATCGGTAATAATTTCACCGAACTTCTGTAAGCACCCTGTGCAGCCATCTTGTCAAATCTGAAAAGCAAAACAATTCATACGTGCTTGACGCGCTGGAAGTAACAGTATCGGAAAAAGCGCGAAAATGGACAATCTCTTGGACAAATTGCATGGACAGGACGCAAGGATCATCAGTATTTTCCGTAAGTAATATAAAACACTTATTTTATTATGAACTTTTGTTCTCGTCTTCTATAATCTGCTTTTTTGCTATGCCCAAGTTCCCGACTACGTTGCTGGCTTGCACCGCCATGTAAACAGCCATTGTTTATCGCAGGGGCTGCAATGGTGGTTGAAAAGTTCAGCACAACGGGCACCAAGTTTTTGCTCAGCATTTAATAGTTTGATTGGAATGGATTAGTATTCATTGAAATCTACTTAATTAAAAAGAAAAGTAAAATAGGGGAATTTACGTATTCTCGGCAACCTAAGCAGCGACCTTCTTTCTATAGCCTTTTTCTCTATGGAACGCACACATATGCAGTATTGGTTTGTTGACAATCTTTTGCTGCCAGCTGCTCTAACAATTTCAGTCGAAAGAATTGTCAAAAACTGTTTTGAAACGCTTTTACAAAGCTCCAATCTTCTCTAGTGAGAGCGAGTATTGTCGGCAACCAGTTTTTCTTCGGTAACCGTTCCATTTGAACTGCATGTAAATCTGCTGTTCTATTATCGGCAACTCGAAATCAGCTACAATGTGTAGTGCGTGTGTTTCATTTCAAGAAAACCCTGCTAGATTGCTTTTTCTCAGTGGTAAAAATATAGTCAAATTGAAGCTGAAAGCATAAAGAATCGTTTGCATGCATTCAGCGAAGTGTTTTCGTAAGAAAATCCAGTGAAAATAGTGTTTCAATTTGGGTTGCCGAAAATAGTCTGTCATGCCGAAGCCGTCATTTCCCCTATATGTGCAAGAACTAAAAAATCTCAAAATCGAATTTTACATGGTCATGTCGAAAAAACACCTGTAAAAAAGTAGCTTTAATAATAATTAAATAATTAAAAGCATGGGTTTTACAGATTATCCCCAAAAAATCACAGAAAGGTTCGGTAAAACAAAAATTTATTCTTCCAAAATTTTACCGAAGAATTTGTAAAAAAAAATACCGGTCGGTTCGGTAATTGCAAAAAATCAATTACAGATTTTTCGGTAATCCAAAAAATCACCGAACACATTACAGTTCAGCTGTTGAGATTTCGGTAAAATTTTACAGATTTCTGTAAAAAAAATCTAAGTGTGTTGACCTGGGCCCAGGTCAGATTTCTATCGACTTGCTTAATTTCCTTATTGAGGCTCCGCCGCCATGAGCCCCTGGGTCTGCCTCTGCTGCGATGTCCTGCTGGATTCCAATCCAGCGCTTGCTTGCAGATTTCGTTTCCGCCCCGTCAAAGTGTATGGCCGACCCACCTCCACTTTCGCTCTCGAATTTCTGTTGCTATCGGCTTCTGATGATATCGACGATGGAGCTCGGCATTCGAGATCCAGTTGTGAGGCCACCAGGCACGAATTATATACCGCAGGCATCGGTTGATGAAGACCTGCAGCTTTTGAGTGTTCTCCGCTAATACACACCACGTCTCGCTGGCGTATAACAACACAGATTTCACGTTCGAGTTGAAAATTCGGATTTTGGTGCGTTGACTTGTCTGGTTGGATCTCCATACGTTTCGTAAACTCGCAAAGGCAGCCCTAGCCTTCTTGATTCGTGCACCTATGTCGCTCTTGGTCCCACCGTCCGACGCTATTTGGCTGCCAAGATATTGGAAACTTTCGACCTTCTCCACTGCTTGCCCCGCTACCGTAAAGTTGGAAGGGTTGCCCGTGTTGATATCCAACGATTTGGTCTTGTTGACGTTGATGGTGAGACCCGCCGCAGAGGAGCGTTCGGCTAGGTCATTGAGCTTACTCTGCATGTCAGAGCGCCGTTGTGCTAGTAGAGCAACATCATCAGCCAAATCAAAGTCGTTGAGATGCTCCATGGTGATAGGCTGCCAAAGCAGCCCACGGTTCGGTACACGGTTAATTGCACCTACCATGATCTCGTTGATTACGATGAGAAACAGTAGCGGTGATAGTATACATCCTTGTCTCACACCAGCGACTACCCGGATAGGGTCGGACAAGGCTCCGTTATGCAGAACTCTGCACGTGAAAGCCTCATAATGCGCTTCGATGAGGTTGACGATTTTATCCGGG